AGTAGTGTTGCTATGGTTTCTAATGTTTGTCATAATATTGCTTTAAACTTCATGAATAATTTGACAATATAATAAGTTGACAATAAGTTGTTAAACATCATGGAGTATACGTATGATGAATATTCTGATATGCATTTAATGTACGGATTGAAAATATGTAATGCTTTCAAAGCACGAAGATTGTACGCTGATGGATTCCCTAATAGACACCAGCCTAATTTAAAGTTTTTACAGCGAATCGATCAGCGGTTACGAGAAGCTAGTAAGAAATGATTATAGCCTTATTTTGAGTAGTAAAAACCATTCGGATTTGTACTGTACGTACAGCTGATGTTGAAGAAAATGTTTTAAATGCTACAGTTGGGGTTAGGAATGTAGCTCGAGATTTTCAAGTTTCCAAATGTACAGTAAATACCATTTTTCAACAGCAACTGCTCCATCCCACCTGCAAAAAGTACATGGTTTAAGCGCGGATGATGGACCCGCAAGAGTAGAATTTTGTGGCTATTAAGGAAGTTAAACCACGACAATGGTTTTTCTTTGATAATACTATTTTCGGACGAATCAGGATTTGGAAGGGATGGGCCCATTAACTCGCATAATTTTCACATTTATGCCGACGAAAATCCTCATGCAATAATACAAACCCATCACCAAGTACAACTTCAAACTAATTTATGGGCAGGAATAATTGGACAACATTTAATAGGAACCTTTGAGTTACCACCTAGACTAAATGGCCAAAGGTATTTACAATTTTTGAAGAACAGTTACCTCCTCTGCTGGAAGATCTTCCATTACAAACACGCATGAATATGTGGTTTATGCACGACGGCAATCGACCTCATTTCAGTATATTAGTTAGAGAGCACCTAAATAGAGCTTATCCAGACCAGTGGACAAGTCGATCAGGACCTGTATCGATTTAAATCCTATAGATTCCTTCTTCTGGAGTGATTTAAAACGACGCGTTTACAATACGCCAGTGGAAACTGTAAATGATCATTGACAAAGAATTCTGCACCATAGCCAATAAATGTAAAATGACATCCAAATGCTTTCGAGAGTGCAGCAAGGATTAGTTCGTCGAGCTCGAGAGTGTGTTAGGCAAGGTGGTGCTCATTTTGAACAATTTTTGTAGTTATTATTTCCGTTTATTAGTTTTGTTACCATCCTCATTTGTTATTGTTAAAAACCATAGCAACGCTACTCAGATATTATCCAAAGCAACTTGATTATTGTTACAAAACTGTTTTATCATCATGGTACAAATAATGCATTGGAACTTTTAAAAACAAATATATCGAAAACTATTAACTTTAGAGAATTCTAATAAATAAACCTTTTTGTTTTGAAAATACAAGAAAATAAGATTTTTTTGGTCAGTTACTGTAGCACAAAAAAGTTATAATAAGGTATTTACCGAAGTAGTGCTGTAAGTGGCGCCCTCTAGAAGTTTGGCCATAATAAAAAACGGAATCTTGTATCTCATACTAGAAAACCTCCCTCTACAAAGTTTTATGCCAAAATCTGAAATACTTCTCAAGCAATAAGGAAAAATAGAAAGTAAAATTGTAACTTTGACACCCTGTATCTCGCAAAGTATCAACTTTTGGACCGAGATATATTTAGGTCCACTCACATATTTTGATCTGTATTATCTCCAGTTTTGACATTTCGCAACCTTTCGCATACACCCTGTATATGTTTGCCATTAAACATTCATTTGATCTTCAAATGGCATTAGTTGTCTTCGGCAGGGTCATGGACATACTTGAACATAAAGTTTCTGTCTCTTTCCGATGTCAAAAATAGGAGTTCCATTTAAACAAACTCTCTAGACCTTCAAAAAGTACCTTGAAGGTCATAGTCAAGGTCACGTTCAGAATCACCAATAGATGAGTCATTTTCAGCGTTACAACTTTTTTCTACATGTTCCTCTAATGAAGATATTTTCATCTATGCATACTTTTTGAACACCTTGTATATTTAGAAAAGACATCGAAACAATTTTGCGACAGTATCAGAGCTATGAAGGACCGACATAATCCATAACTCAAAAAAATTGAGGGAGCAAGAAAACATCCAAATTTTTCGGGGACTTTTGGCAAGCTGTTTTTCGGTGAACGGTGGTCGTATTGGGACTTTGAAAAAAGTATTTTGAAGCTCTAAGGTTCTAGTTTTGAGGTTTATTAGCCGAAAAATTTTAAGACCAACGGTTCTCTTGCAATTCTAACAGATCGCGCAAGAAAAATGTTTTGCAAAATCGTTGACTTCTCTCTAGTCCACGGGTTTGAAAAAACATTCGGATAAGCTTCAGTTTCAATATTCTGCTTCTTAAGTCTCGATAAGATCATTTGGGGCGGAGATATCCGATTTTAAATGAAATCCGTTTGTATGTATGTAAGGATACTTCCGAAAACCGCAATAAGTCTCCAATTAAATTTTTTTTTGTTTACTTAGTATTGGTTTTGAAAAAATCCAAATAAATTACTGTTTGCTTTGTCTTTTAAAAACTAACGCGCTTTTGGACCTGCTAGTGAGAAGGCTAATGTTTTCAGATTTTTTATACCTCAATGAACCCCTAATAACCCTACATGACGGCAGATCGATCCATTGTACGGTTTCTCCGGATCGATTGGTAAAAATTTGAAAGAAGAGCAACATTTTTGTATCAAAACTTCATTTAATCTGCTTGAAAATAAAATAAATCATATATCTTCCTTTATTATCACTATTGGATATCTCTAACATCTTCAATTTTAAAGAAGCAATTGAAAATTTTTTAAGATTTATTCCAGTTTCCGGAAATACCCTTACATTCTCTGGGCGATCACTGGTTTCCGAGATATTAGTGGCCGATGATAAAAGGATCCTTTTTCTTCAAATTCAGATATCTCCACCCCAAATGAGTATCGAGATTTTAAAAACATATGTGCTATATGTAAAAATTGCATGAGAACCGTTGCTCTTAAAATTTTTCGGCTAAGAAGCCTGTAAACTAGAATCTTAAAGCTTCAAAAAGCTTTTTTCAAAGGCTAGATACGACCATTTTTTTACAGAAATACAGCCTCTCATCACCGAAAGATTTGGATTTTTTTCTTGCTCCCTTAACTTTTTTGAGTAGTATATTTAGTTGAGATTCATTCAATTTACAAATGGCTAATACTCTTGCAATACTTGCGCTTTCGGTCGGTATATGGCACGACCGATACCACTTTCGTAATTTTCAAACAATTCTCTCCGCTTCCAGCAACCTCTATTTTTTCAAAATTATAGGCTATGCATCATAATATCAAACTACCATTATTGAGATAATATCCTTTCAATGTTTAAAGAACTGTGGTATTCTCGAAACCAGTAAGTTGCCACCAAGGTAAGTAGCTTTTAGGGCCCTACGCGGGTTACAGGATTTAGTTTAGTATCAAAAGAAAATTTTCAGCTTAAAGTTCAAATTTATTCTGAAACTTCAATCGTACCACTGCAGAATTTCCCTTGAATGCTGGACAGTTATATTACGTATTACATTCTAGGGTAAAATAGTGTATTTTTCAAAATGTTCATCTCGACGGATTATCAATATTTTCCAAAAAGTAGAGATTGCCTCGAAAGCTACTTTGGGCTTTTGTTATTAAATAAAACAAATAATATTGAAAAAATATAATGCATGTTTATATTATCAGATATAGACAGATGTCATGTTTTATAAAAAATATTCTCAAAATATGTCCCGCAGCTATTTCTACAGACTATCAGACTAAGATTTTCAGCAACTTTTTGGCAGAATTGCAGCTCGATTTCACCAACCACTCGAGAAATGCTTTGCTTCAAGTCACTAGCTGTCTGCAGATTGTATAAATAGATATTATCCTTGAGGCGTACCCACAAAAATTGTCAAACGGTGTCAGTCTTCGTGATCTTACAAGAGTAGTAATTTCAAAGTGGGCATGGCTCTATCGCATTGGAAGAACATATTGCCAAGACTCATCACTTCGGCAATAAATGCAGAGAATTTAAACGGGTTTCTTTCAATATACGTTCAAGTACGTTTTACCTAAGACATGAATGAAAAAAAAAACAAAGATAAACTACATCATACTCAAAAAATGCGTATAAACAGCCTCTTCAGCTTTTAAAGACGTAATGTTTTGTTCAGGATAATCAATGTTAAGCTGCTGTTTTAAGTGAGACGTTTTTTAATGTATGTTTGTCCAATGCATACATAGTGTAATTCTGAATAGTACTTTAAGCCGGATACCGGAAGAATTATAACATTTCATTTCCTAGAATCGATTGCATTTGACATTTCTATATACATAATATGTGAAATGATTGAATACTACAATTTTACCGGATACCAGTTAATCTCCTAAAACCAAGTACCGAGCATTATATTACAGTATAATAAGAAAGTGAACGTAGGAGCTTATCTCAGAGGCAGTGAAATCACAGAGGCGTGGTATCAAGCTAACGGTATTTCACCATAAACAGCCAGGTTAAACACATTGAGTAACATTTGACTTTTTGTTTAGTGAGCATATGCTTGATTAAGTTCACAAATCAATCTTCCACCGGAGTGTGCGAGATACAGATTCAGCATTATAGATTGGCCTATGATACAATACCTATTACGTTGATCTAAAGAAGTTAGGACAATAACACTATACCAAAGACGTTTCCATGATTAGCTACAGATTTGAAAGCGCCAGCTATGAAAATCAAGTTTTTTTACTTTTTGAATTTTTTCGACCATTTCTTTGTATAGTTTGACTTTTCCTGATGTCTTAGCTTACATGGACATGGATAATTATGAGAAAGTAAATAAATGCATAACTACATTGATTAACGTGTTCTACCTGGTAGACAACCTAATACTTGTGCCAGCGTCCAAAAAATTATCAGAAATGAAATGATAAACCGTAGCGTCATCTATGAGAATATGTCCAATTCGACCATAGGGATCTCAGAAACAGTAAGAGATACGAAGTTGGTTGAATGGGGGCAAAGTTGCGTATTAAGGAAGTAAAGAAATTCAAAGTACTTCCGGAAAGGAACAGAAGAAACCGAATTTTCGGAAAACAGATTTAATTGTTTCCTGACTTTATTTGAAGTGGAATTTTAAAACACATTACCATTACCACTTTCTCTCCTTTACAAGACTGCTTAATTAGAATTTCAATATGACGTTTCGCCCAGCATCAACTTAATATTTTCTTTTGAACGCCATATTGAATTTTTGCACAGGCGAATAGAGTTTTTGATTCCGATTCCAAAAATGTATGATACATGTGATACATTGACATTGCCAAACCTTAGTTATTTAAAAAACAGAACGTAGGCCTTGGAATTATCAGATAGTCATTTGTTTCATATACCAGCTTTATCACAAAATAATTTTTTATTTTTCCTAACTTTACTTGAAGTCAAATTTTCAAGGTTTCTTCTCTTGGCTTCCATCACTAACTTTGTTTTTTCATGTGAGCGCTGTAGTGAAATTTGGTACATTTAAATAGAATTTTCAGTCCTAAATTCACTGATATATTTCCTTAGTTGGCCATGAATTTGTTGTTGGAACGAAAATTATAAGGAAATAAAAAGGTACGGTGAAACCTGAACACAAAATGAAAATTTTATTGATGGTAATAACAATAACAATCATAAATGATAGGAGGTAAATCATAGTAGATGTTCAGAACCTTGTTCGCTAATTTGTACGCAAGGCCTCTTCTATTTACATTGTTGCCGCTCAGCATTCCAAACTCTCTTACTGTGCTCAATTTGAGCAATTTGGTATAGGTAATATGAAAGTGACTATCTGATAATTTCAAAGCCTACCTATGAAATTCTGTTTTTCTTATATAACTAAGATTTGGCAGTATCAATGTATGACATATTACACATTTTTGGAATCAGAATTATAAACTTCATTTCCTGTGTAAAAATACAATACGGCGCCTTTAAGAAAAAATAAGACGGATGCTGAAAATTCCACTATAAATAAAGTCAAGAAAACATTAAAAAGACTATGTTGAAATTCGGTTTTTTTGTCTCTCTCCGGAAGTACTTTGGAGTTCGAAACCTTCTAAGCAGAGTTTTGTTAGCTTTCTAAATATGAAACTTTGCCCTCATTTAATTGACTTCGTATCGCTTACCGTTTCCGAGATCCCAGTGCTGAGAGTCGAATTTGAAACACCCGGTATATATTTTTCCTCTCCTCACTAATTTATCCTAAATCTATTTTGAAAATGTTTGATGACGCTGTTGCTTACTGTATGAGGATATAGATCTATGGAGCACTAACCTTTTCAAAGTAAATTTCTAATTATTGCGGAAAGATAACTGTGACAAATCTTCATACATGACACTACACGGTGTCTCATTTTATCTAGGATAACAAGGTTACAGTAGAGTACCTACCTGAGGTACAATTTTGTTTTGCGTATTGAGCTCAATTACATATAAAATTAAAAGAACAACAAAAAAAACTGTACTAACTTTAAATTCCACATTTATTACTTCATTTTTATTCGATTGACTACACTTCTGACTAACTCCACTCCCAGATTATCTGAAGATACTTACAGCAGCGAATGCCCAGCATCCGGCACATTTTCCTTGATATTCCACTGGTCCAACTGCGCCCGCCTCCCTCCAATCAACTGTCTCTGGGAAGATGACATTTGCCGGAGGAACAAAAGTGGTACCCTTGGATGGATGAGCTGCTGCGCTGCTGCTCCTTTTTTGGCAAAAGATCGACTAACATTAGCGCTAAGTTTGTATCATCTAACCCATTGATTCCCAAAGTGGTCTATATCGACCCCTAGGGGTCTATGACAACCTGCAAGGGGTCAGCGAAAAAAAATTTGGTGGTCCATGAAATGAATATGGGTGTCCACGATAGTGGATCTGAACACATACACTGATAGTACCTATTTACTTACATCATACTATCTTATAATATCAAAACATATACATTATTTATAAAAGTACCTATGAAGTAAAACATTTATTATATATGTTTATAAAATTGTGTAAGTTGTAGGATGTTGGTATTCGCTTTGAGGTCGCAATACATTTTCAACTTGTAAAAACCTGAGACTCGCAGTCTCAGAGCTTCGCTACCTTGCACTGACTTGTTCAATTCGTCACTCTATAAATACGAATGTGGGACAACTACGTTTATTCGTTTCCTGAATCTGGAAAAGGAAAGTGCTAAGAAGATATTTTAAAAAATATAAACAGATAGTATATCACACAAATTATAGTGAGTCAGTGATATTTTGTTTGAGAGTGCTGGAGAAAAGTAAGTACATTATTTATTATTAAATTTTAGTTTTGTACTCGTAGTTAGCAAAGATAGATAAATTATGCCAATCATGACTTTAGTTATTAGTAGTTAAATATTCAAACATGCAAAATTACACGAGTACTCCTCAATAGTTTCTTTTTGAAAGTTTTAGCAATCGGTAATATAATTACAGTGCAATCGAGCTAATTGTTGCAAGAAGATGTTCGAATTATGGAATGTTTTCGGAAAAATCAAAAAATATTTTTAATATACAGCTGCTAGATTTTCTGTCTTATTTAAATAAGTTGATTTTGCCCACAGATGACTGATGTCATGTCCGAATCAAAAAGTACAGTGTTGATTATTTGAAATTTGGCTTCATTCCATAATTGCCGGACAAACAATCGACTATGTGCCTTTTATGCAACAAAGTTTTGGGCAATGACGCTATGAAACCATCTAAACTGCAAGATCATCTGAGAAGATGCCACCCTGATAAAACAGAGAATGATTTGAAATACTTTCAAACACTCAAAGATAAATTTCAGAAGAGACCTACACTGGACAGAATGTTCGCTTCGACGTCACAAAGAAATGATGATGGTTTGCGGGCGTCTTACAATATCTCGTTACTTATAGCAAAATCCGGAAAACCGCATACTATCGGAGAGAAGTTAATTTTGTCAGCCGTTGAAGAGGTTTTAAAAACTGTTTTACACAAACCTGCATCTGATACCACTAAAAGAATTCCCTTAACCAACAATACTGTTGAAAGACGTATTGATGAAATGAGTTCTGATATTGAAAGCTTCTTATGTAATTATTTGCAAACGACCCATTTCTCTATACAACTGGACGAGTCAAATTTACCTGATCATGCAGCATTATTATTGGCATATGTTCGTTTTATTATGAATCAAGAAATCTACGAAGAACCGCTCTTCGCAAGAACTTTGATAACCGACACTAAAGGTGAATCAATATTTCATGTTTTGAAGGATTACTTCATTGAAAAAGCAATTCCTTTATCAAATATAATAACAGTAGCTACAGATGGAGCACCTGCCATGGTTGGACGTTATCGTGGATTTAAAACAAAATGTGTCAGGGGTGTTAGCAATACATTGTGTCATCCATCGACAACACTTAGTTGCTCAAAATTTGAGTGTTAGATTGCATGAATCATTATTTTGCGCAGTTGTGTGAATAAAATGACGAACACTTTCATCAATTACTCCTTCACACTGAAGTACGCTGGCTGTCGAAAGGCTTATGTTTGACAAGATTTTTTGCACTTTTTGAGACTATTTTAGAATTTCTGGATACTAATGATAAAATTTTAAAAGAAAATTTAATGAAGAGGAAAACAGACATCGCCTATTTAACAGATTTGTTTACAAAATTTAATATGGTTAATTTGCAATTACAAGGCGACAGTTTAAATTTGATTAAAACAAAGTCCATCTTATCAGCGTTTCTTGCCAGAGTTAAACTAATGAAGCAAAATATTGGACGGGGCGAATTTTCTCAGTTCCCCAATTTGTCACAGACAAGCTGCCAGGAAGACGACGTTTCAACTTACGTTCAACATTTAAATGCCCTCTATTCAGATTTTGAATCTAGGTTTGAGGATATTTTGACTATGGTAATACCACCGTGGATAATTAATCCACATGGTGACATAGAAGAAACGAATGTCATAATACTGAACTAAGTACAAACGAAGAACTTAAGGTTCAGTTTAAAAACGGATATCAGCAATTCTGGCTACAAAACAACATACCCGTTACTTATCCCGTATTATGGAATATAGCGAGGAAATTTTTAATTTAAAATTCGTTAATTTTTTGCCTATTTTTAGATAACTTAAACGTATAAGAAGCGGGATTTAATCAAGCTAAGAGTGAAATTATTGTAGAACATACGTTTATGTTATAATTAATAAACGAACTCGCTTATTGTACTATTTTAAGTAAAAAACTTTTTCTTTTATTATTTTTCACTTTTTTTTATTTTATTCCTCTTATTTTTTTTTCAATGCGGGCACTTATTCCCAATGCGGGCACTTATTGGTCAGACACCTGTTTATTTAATGTTACCGATATTTTACATAACAGATACAAAATTTTATTTTGAGTAGTTTTAATTTAAATTCAATTAATAAATGTATAAATTAACATGTATTTTTACTTTAAGTTTTCAACACTAAACCTCACTACAGTTAGAAATTTACAGGAAATCAATATCAGGTAAGTAGGGGGTCTACCCAACACGGAAAAACATGGCAAGGGGTCTACTACACAAAAAAGTTTGGGGAACTCTGATCTAACCAATATGCTATTGGATAGCCGGCTGAACTTCATTCACGAATAGACTGGGAATTGTTAACAGACCGGCTGACAACCATTAAAATAAAAATGTAGTATCAGACAGTTCTCGAAAAGAGTCTATTGCATTATCTTACGCTGTTTTTTAATTATAATTTATTTGTATACTACATAAATTTAACAATTCTTCCGATTTTGCTTGACATAAACAGTACATTTTATTTTAGGGTTTGTGAATCATAACTCGCCATATAATTTCAGTCAAACGTAAAACTCTCTGTCCAAAAAAATATTCAACTGCAAAAGCTTACCTGTTGAAACCGTTGAACTGGTTAAAGAATTCGTGGAAGGTCATATCAGCAAATGGATTAATTTTTGTTGCGAAGCCACGGACTCCTTTTGCGTAGTCTTCATTGAAAAGATTGATTTTACTCAATGTTTCAATAAAAATTTCTTTTCTATGTAGCTCTTCCGTCAACGAGCTGTATTGTTTATTAAACTTCTCCTGCAAGATAAAAATTTGATGTCTTAGGTATATATTTTCACATTATACGTTATCGAAGTATAAAAGCGCTGGCGCTTTATATATAAAAAGCGGGTTAAAATATTTATGGGTAAACGTGGAAATTAACTGTGCAGAAACCATAGGTATAAAATTTAAGATAGGTGGAAAAACTTATCTTTTAGTTAATAGTTATCGTTCGCCTTCTGAGAGTGTCACTTATTTTTTAGACACCTTAGAGAATTTTCTCGGTTTTGTCAGTCTCAAATATGATTATTTATTACTGATAGGAGATCTAAATATTAACATTTTAAATAATTCTGCATACACAAATCGCGTCAAAAATATAATTCATAGTTTTAACTTATCACAAAGGATCAGTGAGCCAACAAGATTCAATTTTGCCACAAGAGAGGCTAGCCTCATTGATATAACCTGTGCTAGTGAGGATCTTATCTCTATTGATTCTAAATCATTGGCAGTTTCTCAAAATCTCTCATAACTTAATTTACTCAGCCTTTCGAAAGTCAAAAATAAATAAATCACAAAAGACTATTAAATATAGATACTACAATAATATAGATAGAGAATCCTTCTTAAATGAAGAGTTTCAACTTTTGTGGGAGGATATTTACTATATAAACTAAATCGACCAAAAAATAGAAGTCTTTAATAAAAATATACTAACTGTTCTGAATAAACATGCTCCGATAAAAACAAAACAAATAACCGAAAAACCTTATGTACCCTGGATAACTCAAAATATAAGAATTTTAATCAAACTAAGAGATAAAGCTCATAAAAAATTTTAAAAATCAAAATCACAGGCTCATTTTGAATATTATAAACAACTAAGGAACTATACAAAGCATGCAATTATCCGAGAAAAAAATACATTCTTTAACTTACTCTCAACAAAGAAAGGTAAGGAATTTTGGGACACTACCAAAAAGCTCAACATAGCATGCAAGGAAACTCACTCAACTATACCCGAACACTTACAAAATGTAAATGACATACACAATTACTTCCAGCAGACTGACAATTTACCAGACACTGCTTCCCAAGAATTAATCAATTTTTACAAAAACGATGTAAACATTAACGATTCTCTTAGCTTCCAACTGTTAGACAGGGCCAGTCTAATCAAAATTGTAACTAATATCTTCTCAAATGCCATTGGAGAGGATGGTTTCTCTATGAGAGACCTAAAGTTATGTATCCCATTTTGTACGAATGCCTTGCTGAATATAATCAACACATGTATTTTGTGGGGATTATTTCCAGAAATATGGAAGAAAGCTATTGTTAAACCCTTACCAAAAATAGCAGAACCTAAAGAATTTACAGACTTGAGGCCTATTAGCATATTACCCGCAACATACAAAATTTTAGAAAGGCATATTTATAATCTTATTAGATTTTTTTGTGACACAAACGATATCATACCCGATAGTCGATCCGGTTTTAGGAAAAACTTTAGCACAAGTACATCATTAGTTAATATCTTGGATGATATCAGACATCATCAAGAGCAAAAAAATAGTACGTGCATGGTTCTTCTCGATTTTAGTAAAGCGATCGACACTCTGAATCATGAAATGTTACTACCTAAGTTACATTACCAGGGGTTTTCGCAGAACTCCGTAAATCTAATAAAAACACATTTAAGCAACCATTCAAACTGTTAGCAAATGATTCTGCTATTTACAAAACCGATTTAAACCTATAAAAAGAGAAGTTCCTCAAGGTTCAATTTTATCTCCTTTGCTATTTTCAATCTACATATCTGACATGGTCAAATCGGTAAAAATCGCAAAGATAAAACAATATGCAGATGACTCACAAATATATCTCCCTGTCAATAAAGCCACAATCCATATTGCACAACAACATCTAAATTCAGATCTCTAAAGAATTGACAGATTTGCAAAACATCACAATCTTAAACTAAACCCCTCAAAATCGCAAGTAATGGTTATGGATAAAAACAATACTGAAACAGAACATTTTGAATAAAATTTAGTAATTTCTATTAACAATGACAGAATCCCCATAGTTCAGGAGATAAAAAATCTAGGGATTATATTTGATAGCTCGCTTGGCTTCGGCAGTCATATAAAAAACAGAACAAATTTAGCTTACATGCGACTAAAAAATATAAACAAATTAAAAAAAAATTTATCAGCCAAACAAAAATATTATTTGTGTAATACCTTAATTTTATCACTTTTTGACTACGGAAAAATGCATACAAAAAGTTCAAAATAGTTGCATGAGATTTGCGTTTGGAATTCCATATCGAAACCATATCACTCCTTATCTGAATAACTACAACATATTAAACATGACGAATCGCAGAAAATATCACATGTATTCTTTTATCTATAGGGTTATAAAAACAGGTCAACCGCCCTATTTAAGAGAAAGATTTGTGCCTTTGCCTAGTCCCCAGAGAAGCAGAAATAATCTCAATTTTATCGTACCTAGGCATAGAACGCGTTCCTTCCGACGATCGTTTGCCTATGTGGCGGTTCACTTATGGAATAATTTACGAACTTCGGTTAAAAGCTTATCGTCAAAAACATTCTCAAAACTGACAAAAACGTTGTTACAGAATCACCAGCTACTTTAGCAGCGTTTGTGTGAGCAAAAATATCGTTTTTACATTCCTACTCCCTGCAGGTTGTATAGATTTGTTCTTCGCGTCCGTTGCCAGCTCCCGGGGGTTCTTTCTTCGTTTTTGCCTTTTTTGTGTTTCACCGCCTCTTCATTTGCCTCTTTATTGTTTTTTTGTATTTTGTTTAAGGACTTTTACGGTATTCAGGGCTTTCTCGCATGGACTCTTTGTATTAAAGGGTCCAATGTATCGGTTTTATAATCGAGAGACTGTCCTTTTTCGTCATTACTCTATATGTAGAATTTCTTTTGTTTATGATGTTTATTCATGACGAAATAAATATTTTGAATTTGAATTTGAATTTGAATGAGGGAGTTATGTAATCTTACAGGATATTACGAGGAATGTGTACATACCTATAAAGCTGAGAAAAAATGAACTTGTTGGATTACCTTAAAATCAGTAAACTGCTGCAGTAGAGATTGTCCAGCCTTAACAACTCCTGAGACTGCTCCCTGGATGTTGCTTAATCCTGCGTTTGCACTTAGACCTACGGAATGCCAGTAAACAAAATTATTCCTTTCTAAATTTCATCTCTTTCGTTCTCAAATATACTGTTATCAATAGATAAAGTCACAATCTGATGAGTTTACTTTACTCACGTTTAGAATATCCTGGCAGCCTTTCTCAAAGCAAAAGCCACAAAAATGTGCAGTAGACTTTCAAGTTGAAAATCGAGACCATATTGAGACAATTATAGAAGGCACTTGAAGTAGGTACTTACTGATGCTGCCTTAGCAATTTTATTCAAAATAGAAATGCAAGTTTTTTAGTATGTTGTTACAATTTGGTGTTACACCTAGATATCTACCTCATGAGAATGCTGTATATTTCTTAATTATTATGGCTTCAGTACAAATTTAAAGACTCTCCTTTGTTATTTTAGCTTGGTATAGTGTACAAGTAGTACTAAATGCGGTCATCAAATCTTTATCCTTACCTCCAAATCTTGGTAAAGATGGTGGGGATAGTAGCTGACCGTCCGCCACACATAAGAAGGCCAGAACGATTATTGTCGGTTTCATCATTCTGAAAAAATGTTTATACTGTAACAAACTATTTCATTGCTAAGCTTTCCTTGCCACTTAATAGGAAAATATGTCTTCCAAGAAAGTGACGGGCCTGGTTGCGAAGTATATTCCAGAAGCCTCCTTATACATTGCAAGAGGTTATGGACGAATATGCCAGTTTGAATTATCTGACATAAGCCTAGCTGACAAAAAATTACCATCGGAAGTATTAAAGGCAAAAACGAGACATAGCGCAAAATTGCAATGTTTTATTAAAATCGGTTATTTTGATTTTATATATATATTATTGTGATACAAAATCTGAGAATTGTTTCTTTGCATCCGGAGTTTTTTTGTATGCTTCACACAGACGGTGCAAAACTTTCAAGATAATACTCCTTCATTACGCTATGATTTTCGAATAAAACAGTAAGCAGAACCTTGACTTTTTATCGAACTTTGCCTGCTTTTTCCGGTATTGGCTTCCCTGCCCATTGGGACAGTAATTGGGCCTCCTTGGTTCCGATGCCATAATGATACACCCACGTTTGGTCGCCAGTTATAACCCTTTTGAGTGAATACGAATAATCGCTGAGCCCATTCAGAAGCTTCTGAGCGAAACTCATACGACTGTTCTTCTGGTCAAAATTAAGAAGCTTTGCAAAGCATCATAAAGTTACTAAGCACAATCCATAGGAGATACTGAGATAATCAGTAATTTCTCTAATGGTAATTCGACGATTCTCCAACACTATTTTCTTCATTTCTTCAACGTTGTTGACGTACCTATTGGGGTGACCAAGACAAGCTTCGTCATTTAAACTTTTTCGACCTTCTTGGAAGAAATTGTATCAATCACAAACATTTTTTACTCATAAGCACACTCACCGTATGCTGTGTCAGTATTTCGACAGTTTGGAACACTTAATTCAACTTTTTCTCTCAAGATTTGATCCAAATCCATAGCCGCATTTTTGTGTCAGTAGAAAATCGCCGATCATACAAAACACTTTGAAAGCTTTATGTCTGTTATACGAGGCTTGTCCGTAAAATAAGTTCCACGGGCTGCCGCTGGCGCTAGGATCGTTTCTATGCACAGCCAGGCAACAGAGGCAGATTGTTTGGTTCCCCCACTCCAATCCCTCATCAAGCCAGCGTCGCTGCGACGTTTAGTCTTGGCTCAGCAGCCATCAGCGATGGAGCTTCCTCTTTCGTCTCCCGCCAGTTGCGAGTTGCGGTCTGTTATTCGTTTCCTGGCCGCTAAGAAGAAATCGGCGAAGGAAATTCACGAAGAACTTTGTCAAGTGTATGTAGAAGACTGTATGAGCTGCGGGATGGTGCACAGATGGGTCAGGGACTTTAAAAATGGCCGAACAGACGTCCACGACGAAGCCCGTGCAGGGCGGCCATCGGTTTCCGACGAAACAATTGCCAAAGTCGAAGCGGCAATGCTTGAAGATCGACGGATTACAGTTCGGGAGCTGTGCACAAATATTCCGGAGGTCAGCAAAACCACAATTGACAAGGTTTTGACTGAACATTTAGGCTATTCAAAGGTCTGCGCAAGATGGGTACCAAGAATGCTCACTGCAGACCACCAGCGGCAGCGGGTTGAAGCGGCCCAAGAATTTCTCGCTTTTCACGGAACAACCGAAGAGGAATTTCTGGACTCTATTGTTACTGGTGACGAGACCTGGGTATACTACATCACACCGGAAACAAAGAAGCAATCGAAGCAGTGGAAGCACTCTTCTTCACCAAGAGCAAAGAAGTTCAAACAAATCCTGTCTGCCGGGAAAATCATGGCTAGCGTTTTTTGGGATCGAAAGGGCGTATTGTTGTGCGAGTTTATGCCTCGCGGGACAACAATCAATGCTGACCGGTACTGTGAGACCTTGAAAAAACTTAGACGTGCCATTCAGAACAAGAGAAGAGGAATGCTGACGAAAGGAGTGCGTTTTCACCATGACAATGGCCGACCGCACACCGCCAATCGAACCACAGCCCTCATCGAAAGATTTGGATGGAAAATGGTGTCTCACCCACCCTACAGCCCAGACTTAGCACCAAGTGACTTCCATCTCTTCCCTGAGTTGAAGAAAAACCTTGGCGGAGCCCAATTCCAGACAGATGAAGAGGTGCAAAACGCGGTTGTTAGTTTTCTACACGGACAGGCGGCAGAGTTCTATGACTCTGGTTTGAAGATTTTCTTTGCAATTAAACCAATTTTTTTATATGAAAAAAATTTGTGGAACTTATTTTACGGACACGCCTCGTAAAATGAGGCTATACAGCTGAAGCTATCGACGTACACTGTGGACGACAATATGAAGAAAAAAGAAAACTAATATTGACTAAGCGCCATATCGTCAGTCTTTGCTACAATTGTAGGGCGCCTTGATGGCCTTCTTGATTTTCATAGTCTTTCCTCTCCTTCAGAAAGGCTAGGATATTTGTAGATGTCTTCTGTTTCCTGTCAGCGTCAGCGCGCTCATAATGTCAGACTATGTTTTCTTCTTAAGTTGTAGAAAATTTCAGGCTATATAACAGATGATATAAATCAAAAGCATTAACAGTTTGATGCAAATATATTTTTAACATAACCTCAAAATAAAACGCTGACACAGAAGAGTAGAAAACAATGAAAATCAAGGAGGTCATAAAGGCGTCCTACAATATTGTAGGAACGACTGACGATCCACCTAATTCAAAAAGACACCCTACTTTTTGATCACACCTCGTACATATCCACTGGCCTAAAGAAGCATCATTTGATTCATCCAAGCCCCAGCCATTTTATGCATAAGTATTCATTTTTGTGATCACAACAGCTTCCTCTGTCTGTAGAAAGTAAAGTCGTTGCATTACCATCAACGTGAGACGTAAAGTCAATTTATCAATCGGAAGACAGGAAAAAATAGTCATCACATTCATTGTATGAAAGAATAGAGTGTTATTCAACATAATCCTTCATGAATAATATCTGGCGTAATGTTTACCTTTCGCGTAACGCTCCCATTGTGAATAAAATATGTCTTATCATCTTTGAAATCTAAAAAGATCGAGAAATTCCATTACATATTCCGGTTCATTCAATGAATGTAAGTCTCTACAGGTACGCGTAATTTCATTCAAATCAAGGACGGGTATCATCTTCATCATCTCACGCTGACAAAGGTAGACTTGCCCAACAGTTCTCTCATCTCTACGTATCCAGTAAGATATATTTCATCTCTGTTGTAAAAAATCCTTTTCACGCCATTAAGTCGAGTTAAAAGAATCTAATAGAAGTTTTTATGTACACTTGCTTTCAAATGTGGCACTCCTATCATAGATAGTAATTATGGTCCAATCATGGAGAGATTCAAGATGATATATCATTGTCCATTAGAACAGGGCTGTCCAACATACGGCCCGCGAACTCCTTTCTTGCGGGCCGCCTCACGGGTCATGTATACATCACATGTATAAATTACTCTCAAATATAGTATAGTATATACCTATGAAAACTCGGTAATAATGTTGTATAGAAAGATTTTATAATGCGGCCCTCCAAACTGCATTTTTTTTTGAAGTGGCCCTTGGGCCACATTAAGTTGGACAGCCCTGCATTAGAAGAATCATTTCGAATTTTTGTTATACTGTGCATTTCAAAACCTACTTATTTTTTCAACAGCAGGCTGAAATTCAGGGTAATGAAATTGATGTTCAGATTCTGTATTTTAGCGTAAAAGTGGCAGTTCAAAATTTCAAGATGGCGGCTGGGCACTATTTTAGAAAATTTATTAAAAATGGACGAAAGGTTCGTATGATAGTTCATTTCAAAGCTCCTTATAAGTACTTTATAGTCCTAGAATATACGATTACCATACAAAGGGGGAACCGGCATTCTATCAAATTTGAGCATTATTTTTAAGATTTTCACTTATAACTTAACGATAATTATTTATCGAAAGGATGTAGAACTTCATTCTATTTAAAACATTAAGAATCGGTTAACCTGACTTCTCCATATCTTGTTACACGCTTAGATATACCCTTAAAAAGGATAAAGATTCTTATAACAAACTATAACCTTTTGATGATTAGTTGTTCAGTTATAAACGGCTCAATGTACCAGAACTATTAACTCGGACAGCCTTCTAGTCCGCGGTTTTGAATGATATTTAAGGGTTATGAAGCATTCATGAGAAGCTTCAAAATGATGTATCACAATCCCCATTCAACAAAAAATCCAGAATGTTGCGCAGCCGCCATCTTCAAATATACAACTGTCGCTTTTATGCTGAAATGTACTCATGCGTTAATTTCATTTCGCTGAATTTGGAGTTTTTTTAACTTGGTCCGATCAAAAAATAAGTAGGGAGTGGGGACATTTTTGAAAAGCTTCGTATATACAGGGTGTTTCATTTTATTGTTGCATAACTTTAAGATCCGATAGAACTTTTAAAATTAATGCATAAAGTCTATATAAACATGGGTCGAAAAATGCGTGGCTTCCGAAATACAGGGTGTTGAAATTTACTTTCTAAAATATTTTTTTTCAAATATTTCGAACAATATTTAATGTATAACAGTGAAAATTGGTACTCAAGGGGTTTTTGGTACGACAAAACGAACCATGGGCATAGTTTTACTGTAGCCGCTAGAGGGCGCTCTCTACTGTACCTGTAGTGTATTAAAATGACCGAAAATTTTTTCTTAGTGCAATTTTTTGCTTTCTGAATAATAAAACTGATTCTTCGCACTTTTCAACATGAAAAAGTTCTCTTGTGAATTTTCGTTATAGTTAGCCGTTTTTGAGATATTTCGATTTTCAAGGTTCGATGCATTTTTAATTATTTATGATAAAATAACGTTAAAAAGTCAGTATCTCGATAGTTTTTAGAAGTAGGCTGTGCCTGCAAATATTTTTGAAATTGAAAGCAGAATAAGGTTAAACGTCAATTAGTTGACAGTCAGTGTTGTTGCCTGTTGAAACCTGAAACGTTTTTTTTGCAATTGTGAATGCACGAAATT